TTTTTTTACGGTCCCAGCTGAAGTCAGGTAGACTGCATGCTGAAAAACTCCCATTATAACGAATCAAAAAAGCGCAAAAAAATCAGTATAACGAACTTACTTTTTCCAGAATTTTCATTTTTGCTTCGAAGAATAATACTGTAGCTCTAAATGGTTCCCTTTTGACTTGAAGAATACCAGCGTTTTCAGTTATTTCCTTTATAAAAAATTGCAAAATTAGTGAATTTCGATATAACGAATTTTTCAGTATAACGAATTTTTTTTTAGGTCCCTCCAGGTTCGCTATAACGAGATTTTACCTGTAGTTAAAAAGCCAAATATTCATTCGTTTCTCCAGATGAATGAGTATTTCGAATGCTAAATATCTCGTCTTCGTTTGTCGACGGAAGGAAAACTACCTCGAAAAAGCCAGATACCAACAGCTTGAATGTTGTTGAAGCTCATCGTAACGACATCCAGACGTGATGCCTTGCGTGAGGCAGCCGATTTTCGATCCGGGATTCCATGGAGAAAAATAATTTTTACCACGGCTCCACTATGGTGCCTTTTAGGCTCCAGCATTCCATCTCTCGTGACAGCCATCTTCCATCATTTCTGCTTTGCAGATCGCAAACTTAGAACTGAAAGTTTCTTGGACGTCAAGTACTCGCGCCGAAACCAAAACATGCTCTCAAGAGAGTTTGGATTATTAATATTCCTTTTGCTCCCTTGCAGAGTATTCCTCCTTTGGAGATGACTGTCACGTCAGCATCGATACCTGACAAACGCGAAACCCGAGATGGAGTGCATTAGGGCGGTTTCTCTCCCGTCGCATTTCCCAATCGCAGTCGAGAAAATTGAATTACTTTCGAAAGGCAATATTTGGGACGTGCATCGGCACAGCACCGTTTAGAGTTCCCTTTTTTGGCCCCGGGGATCCCCAACGGGAATGAGGGAAAAAACAAGACGACTCCTCGCCATCGCCTTATTAACACAACAAATAACATTGCAGTGGATTCAAAGATTTCAAAGAGAGACACATATAAACAAAAGCATCTTGGAAAACGAAGTTTCGTGCAAGAAGCACTGTCGTCGAACGACACGAAGGCCGGAAGGAGTAAGAAAACATACACGACACGATCGGATTTTGGACAGGGAATGCTCCTGATGCCCCGCAAGAGAAAACGAGCATCTCCCGATTTCGGGGTCATGTGGGTCTCGTTTAAACCAGGCGATGAAGGAGATGTGCCTGTTCTCGTGCGGGATTCGGGCGATGCAGATCGCCATCGAATGACGTTTTCGTGTCGTGGCCGACGTTCGTCGCGACTCGATCGTCGCCTTGACTAGTTGTGGTCACGCGGACGCCACGTTCTGCGGAGTGAACGCGATAAAAACGAAATAGCAAAATATTACGTTTCTTGAGTTGGCCATCACACGAGGAGTAGGAAAAACGGCACCAGCATTCCGCACGAACGACTGTGCATTGTGTAACGTCCCGTGACGTCGTCGATTTCTACTACGTCGATGACTTATCCGGTAATGCAACAACTGCGAATTCCCAGGGTTGTTTAAATGTGCTTTCGCGACGAACTGTGGCCGACCTGCGGCACTGTGCTTCGAAATAGGCCTGGATTTTGGCAGATCCACACAAAAATATTACTGGTGATTCGACGTTGATGAGGCAACGTTGATTCGTCGGTGAGAAGTACTTCACCGTGTGTGTCGAGTAGCCTAATGTAGAAGTTGGAGTAGCTAAGAGTTCTGACTTGGAGCTATACTTAGGATTCCAAATTAGAGACGGTGATAAAGTATTTTAAAGACACGTAAATATAGCCTTTCACTTGGCCTCTAAGAAGCTATTCTCAATCCTAAAAATAACGCGAAAGAGAAGAGTGCAATCTCATGTTAAATGACTGAAATGCAAAAAAAAATACAGTTGAATCGGTTTATATAGGAAAAGGGGGAAGAAATAGAAAACCACGTGTTATGCAGATAACGCGCAGAACTCCAATTAGTATTTTGCTAAAAAATGAGCTGCAGAATATTACATGCATGCATGGAAATTTTGAAATGGGAAATCGATAGCCTCCTTAGACCCGAGGAAAGTAAAATAAGATAATATTCGCTGGTCCGAAGTTAATCGTTCTAAACGGTATCCGATCCGAGGAGATCGGAAATCGGGGTCGGACCAGCCCACAGCGGGGACTCCGGTCATCAGGCGGGAGGGTGCCGTCTTCCCTCCGGGGACGAGCGTCGTCTGCTTCGGAGTCGAGTGACGTCAGTTTGGGTTAGACTTTGGGCTTGCTTTTGCGACTGGAGGTCGGAGGATGTCGGCTTCTCCCGAGGCGATTCTTTGATTTGTTAATGCTACTCCTCAGAATGGATATTGTATGTCTGGGTGAAATTCGATCGTCTTTTACTCATCGGTTTTCTCGTCTGGTGGAACAGAGGGATTACTTTGCTACGGCGAGAAGTTGAAATATTGAGAGGCAGAGGCTGGTCGTTGCGCATAGCATGTTCTGAAGCGTTTGTCTTTGCAGACAGTATGACACAGCCAAAAATATATCATCGGGCCATCGATGGCTTTTCGTCGACGCGTCTATAAGCCGTAGTTGGGCCATCACTGGCATATGGTTGCCTTAGGGCATGTCCTGTTGGCCCATCATTGGGCCAACTTTGGCTCATTGTTGGAAAACCGCACATGTATTTACTACAAGCCGACTTTTCACAATGGTGAAAATATATAGAAAGAAATTGACACGAGGTGCACCTATAACATTATGCATCCTTTGGCACCTTTCTGCTTCTTCATCCGGGTGAGATGAAGGATCGGTACCTCACACAGGTACGCTCCTATAATCAAGAGCTGAGGATATTCCAAGCAACACCCTTTCCTGTTGCTAAGGCATCCAGAAGCAGAATCACTTGGGAATGCAATGGTATCTGTTCTCCCACAGGAAGGAAGGCACTCACACGTAATAAAATTTTTTCAATTTTTGGAAGTGGGGTAAGTAAAGTCCTGTGGCCTGTCGTGGAAAGTAGAAGGATCCTCCCACGGACTTCCGGGCCGGAATTTCCTGGTTTATTCCAGGACTAGGTTACAACTTCAGATAAATGTTTCAAGGAGTTCAATTGTCTTCCTCTGAGATTTATGTTAGAAATCATAGGGAACTGTGTCAAAGAGACAGGGAACTCCTTTCAGTAGAATCCGAGAAGTGACTCCCTACAGCGACCACTTTGGCTCCATCTCGCGCCGGTTTTTGGAACCTTCTCAACAACATTGGCTCATCTTCGGCGAATGATTGACCGAAGATGAGCCAACGATAAACCAGCAAAAAATTTGTGACTGGGCAGAGTCGTGCCTGCCTCGGGTGGAAAGCGTGGGAAACGGTTTGCATGTCGTGGTATGCCAAATGCTAATTGTAATGGTATATGCTAATTATCTTTCGTTAAAAACTGCATGAGTAGCAAAAATTCATGCTCGGCTGTTAACCTTTGAATGAATGCTTTTCGCAATGCAGACAGCTTGAGGCTCAACGATGAATCACTACGAATTCAACCGCAAATCACCATCGACTCAACAGCGAGTGAATATTGACAAACCGACAAATCACTATTGATTCAACGGTAAATAGGCACTGAAAAACCAGTACATTCAGTTAATTCACCTGTTCCAATTTGAACACGAGCGGCGCGTGCGGCTTTTCGGGAGGCTGGAGACCCGGAGTTCCCATTTCCGCCATCTTGCCTCTCCAGACTTATTTTGGTCGAGCCATTTAACCATTTCAATTACATAAACGCACTTTTATTTAATTTAAAGTAAAAAATGTTTAATTTATGGCTTAAGTGACTGTATGTGATCAAGAATAAACAAAATTACATTAATAATTTATTTTCACATTACTCTGAACTACACAGAAAGGTGGTCGCCTTTAGTAAACCACCATGCCTGAAACTTTTAAAGCAACTTTTTGCAAAGCCTTGCAAATCTCGTTCCGCGAACTCTTCCAAGGCTGATGGGCTATGTCGAACGTGTGATTGACTCCATATCCTTTGAAAGTCTGCATCAGACGGTTATGAACTGCTAACGTTACGTTGTGCACGAAGTGCGATGTTTATCATATCGAAACATCATTCAATATGATGAACATAATATTGAATGATGTTTATCGCATTGAATGTCTATCGATAATCAATCTGTTTTAATATATATATTTTTATTCTTTTACGTACTATCCCCCAATGTTAATTAATGTGTACTTTATGACGAAATTTAACTGTAAAGAATGTTTCATTTAATGAAAGTAAATCTGTAGTAATTCTGCGCGCTCTCAACTGGCTCTCATACTTTTAGGAAAGAAGCGAGTCTAGATCAAACTGAAGAGAGAGAGAGAAAAAAAGCCAGAAAGGAGAATATGTGTTCATTCCCTTTTGCAAGGTCGAAGAAATGACGATTGATGGTCGAGCTTCGATCCTGCCCGGTAGAAAATCCAGTTCAAAATTTCCACTATAGCTTATGGCTTGAGGAGTCTTTCGCTAGAAGTCGACCGAAATAGAGTCGTGAGAGAAAATATCATCTGGCTGTCCCGTGGACGCCACAAAAAAAAAAGAATCCAGATCCTCGTGCGTGACAAAAAATGACGCAGGAAGGGACCCAGAGACACGTGACACATCCCATGACCAATGGCATGCCCTGCAAGGTTGCTTCCCGTTGTTTTCGATCGTTCGCGCTCAGGGCTGATGCGTAATATCGATGCGCGTCGGGATACCTCGGCTCTTTGTGGCGAGTTTTTTAAATTATTATTATTTAATTATTTTATTATCTTATCTGAAAATTTTTTTCCTTCTTCCCGGATCTGGTTCATCCACGCGTAGCCATCTCCTGCTTTTTTCACAAGGGAATTCTTGCAGCTTTCTCGCAAAAGATATGAAAACTTTATTTCTCTTGCCATATATATAATAAGTGGACATGTGTGACACTGCATCGCTCCGTTATGGATTCCGTCAGGGTCGCGCTTTTCTCCTGAGAGCAGTGCTGAAGCTCTTCTGCTTTTTTTTTTAATCGTTCCACTCCAGAGATTAGTTCATGCCCGCGCTTATCGGTCTCAGATCCAAAGATCATTCATTTGGTGCCCGTGCATACATGTGATCTGTTTTCCATAGGTGAATACAGTAATCCGATTGGAGAGCCAGCATGAGCAACGTCTCTATGTTGGCCTTGGCTCTCTTGAGCCTCGCGTCCGCCTCTTACAGTCGGGTCCTCGAGGACGGAATCAAGGCGTTGATCGGGAACGGATTCGGCGTCGACGTGGACCCCCACGAGTCCTTGAAAAACGTTCGGGAGATGCTGATGAAGAAGGCAGCTGAGTTCCACCACCAGAGTCACATCGATCCACTGAAGTTTCCTCCGGAGGTCAAGGACGACCTTGACCGCGATACGGTTAGCAAAAGTCACACCAGTTTATAGGTTATCACTGAACAAGAGAAGACACTTATCAACCATGACGACTGCCCATAGAGATTTCTCGATTGTGGTCAATGGGGACAAGCTAGTTGTGCCGTTTTTGCCACTTGAACACAATCAACGTACTTTTCGAACTTTTTTTTTAGTCGCCTCTCTGATTTTTACCGAAATGGCGCGCAGGTTTTGGTGAAAAAATTAGTGCAAGTCAAATTTTCTGGCCCGGAGAAAACCTTTTCTTGAGATATTTTTGTAGTATCCCGAAGTTTTATGACACTGGACGTCTCACCAGCAACTTTGAACGTTTATCATATTAAGCTATGAAGTTCATTTATGTTTCATCTGTCTGCCAGTCTTTTCAATCATGTAAAGATCACGGGCGTTGTATAAGATATAAAAAATAATTGCTTGAAAGATATTCAACTACTTTAGACCCCTGATGCAACCAATTGCTCCATTATTGTTTTTCTTCAAATTTGACGTGCACCATCCTATAGCAACGATGCAAATTCCCTTCCAAATTGTAGGCTTGCGTTTTTGGCCTCAGGGAAGATCTACATATTCTGTAATGCAGTGGCTCTTAACCAGAGGGTCCCGAGAGGATCAAAGAAATAACATAGAAAAGGTAAAGGATGGAGAAAGATAAAGAAACAGGATAAACAGTCAATGACGGGATTACATCCGCCTTGGTTTCCTGGAAAGAGCTACATTTCTCATTTACGTAGATCACTCGCCGACAAAGGTTAAGAAGTGGGAAGGTAGACGATTTCAGGGAAAGGGAAGAAAATAATCCTTTTTTTTTTAAATCCCTCTTGCTCTTATCCATTATGTATTTCCAGTGAGCTTCGTTAGTGTTGGGGAAACTCACTGGTTTCTCGGCGTTGTGGCAGGAAGAGAATGCTGCATATTTTAGTCGCCAGAAGTTGAAGTTTCTCTTTGCGGTTGTGTTTCTTCGCTGGCTTAAGCTCACGTTCGATACTGCTTTGATTTTTGTTTTCATATGTAATCTTCCTCTTTTCTACTGAACCAAGAAGCTTGCGACTGAACTGATATATTTCCTTTCCCCTATTTTTGAGGGGTGGTTACGAAGCCTAACGCAGATGTATCGTTTATTAATAAAGCCAGGTTAAAGTGATGATGCTGTTAGAAGTACCCCGGCTAAAGACAGTGACAGAATTCAAGAGAGTAAAACAGTTAAAAGTGAAAACCCGCACCAATCTGGAAGTACAATGACTCACACCTTCAGTACGGTTTCATAACGTCAGAAGATATGAAACCGGAATGCCTAGTCTGTGGTGAACTGAAGCGTCCAAGAAGCCGTCAGAGTTGAAGTAGCATGTGGATAGAAATCATAACAAATTTAAAAATAAGCCAACTGAGTTCTTTCGAAGGAAACTCAGAGATACGGGAACATGAAGGAATAATGAAAATTTCACCAGTGCCCTGAGAAAGGTCTCTCAAGCGTCATATCTGGCCTCGCATCTCATTGAGCGTTGCAGTTAAGCACTTTGACCATGGGTGAAAATCTTGTCCTACCTGCAGCAGCGGAGATGTGCAGGGAGGTTCTCGGTGAGCGTGCTAGCGAAAAGCTCAATTCCCCTGTCCAATGGCTCTGCTTCGAGGAGAATCTGCGAAATGCCTGAATATATTTAAAGCGAACCGGTTCAAAGCTTGAAGAAATCGGAAAAACTCACACTTCAGTTGGATGAATCTAAAGATGTTGGGGGCGAAGCTGTCTCGCTCGTCTTTGTCCGTTACAGCAGAAACAACAGCATGCTAGAAGAGGTTTTTTTTCGCTAAAAATCTTGAGACACGAACAACAACTGAGGCCACCATGGACTCCTACCTTTCAAATAATGGATTATCCTAGGAAATTTGCTCGAACGTCTTCACCGATGGCGCAGCTGTCATGACGCTGGTCTACTGGCTCGAGCCAAAGAAGTAGTTCCTGTTGCAAAATGCACTAATTGCGTTCTCTATCAAGGAAATTTGGCTTCCTGGGACATGCCCCCAGAGTTAAGTTGGGTCTTGTCATCGGCTTTGAAACGCATATTTTTTCATCCAGTCAAAACCCTTGAATTTCAGGTACTTCCGTGCATTGCGCTACAGTTCAACTGCCGATCACGAGCAACTTCTGCTTGCAGAAGTTCGTTTACTAACCAGAGGAAGAATTCTGTCTCGTCTGTATGAAGTGAATTAGCCAGTAGTAGAACTGAAACTGTTCTTTTCTGATTGGGAAAAAACTGCCACTTAGCCGAGCAGTTCCGTAATGGGAAATTTTTGCGTCAACTTGCCTTTTTTTTTTTTAGCTTTCTGAATGAATTAAACTTGTTCCTTTGAGGAAGAGGCAAACATATTCCAGAAGTCCAAAGCGAAATCCAAATCTTGGAGAAAAAGTTGACGTAGTGAGAGAAAAAGGTTGAGTTGAGTGGGTACTTGGGATATTGAAGCCTTGGAGATGAGTAACTATGGATTTCCAGAAGTTGCAACTGGCGAAAAATAAAAGTTGGCATCAAGTCAGTTTTTCTTCATCATTTACAATCCTTGAGCCGATGTTTTGATGAATATTTCCCCCGAAAACGAGAGCAAGGAAGGATATAATTGGACTCAAGATCCTTTCACTGCTGATGTTGCAGCAGCAAGCCTTAAAACTAAGCCGGAGTCGATCAAACTTTCCAGTGATCACAGGCAAAAAAAAAGAGGAAGTTATTTTTTTGTCTTTTATGAAGTATTTCGTTGTCCTGTGAAACAAAAAGAGGAAAATGAAAGCATTCGATCGCTTTCAAGTTACATGACTGCATTATTTTTTATCCTTCCATAACCCATTGTCATCGACCTACGAGACAGTCTCGTAGGTGCACTTTGAATATGAATTTTGCACGTAGTATTGATGTTCGCTCCTAGATGGTACCAGTAATATGCTCCATGACCCACATAGATACGTAGAAAAAATATCCCCACTGGGAGTCTCGGATTCGGATTCCCATCGGACGCTCCATCCGGAATGGCTCCTCACGAGTAAAATCACAAAATTGTGCGGTCGCCTTTCGAATCGTTGAATGGTACTATGTGGAGCTCTGATATATCAAATTACGAAAATCATCGAAATCCTTATGTTAGAGGTGCCGATGGTCGACAGGACGGAAGGACCTATGAAAACACGTCGAAAAAAGCACTTTAATTGGAATCAATGAAAGCATAAACATTCTCAGCTTAAGATACAGACATTCCTATCCTGTAATTATTTTGTTTTCTGCCTCTTTCCATGTCACGTTTTTTTCCCCTTCTGGGGCAGTTGTTTCCTTTCCTGCACCAGCTATCCACGTGGTCCTTGCTGTTTGGACCTCAGTCATAACTATCGCGAACCGGAATATCCCCCGATGCGATCCTAAGATAAACCTGTGATTGAACTAACCCGCAAAACGCCAGGGCCACTACGCAGGTGTTCATTATGGAAAGGTAATACAGACCTGGGCGTTGAGCGCACCAGGCAGCAATTTGTCTTCGTTTCACCTTCTCGGAGTCCGGACAGATAAACGCCGACAGACTAAGAGGCAAATGCAGATCCTTCGGGTAGAGGAGGAATTCGTCTTTACGGACAAGTCCCAAAATCAGACGCCGAATTGCCCTCTCTTGTCCAGCCTTGCACTATCTATCTTTCTATCAAGTAATTTCCCTGTATTAACTGATGCCCAAGATTTTTTATGCCACTAAAAAGGCCGCAAAGAGGTCTAAAAAATGAGTTATGAATTAAGTTAATCACTTTAATAGAACAGGCGCCATGAGGCATAAATGACTAAAATATTGAATAGAATAAGCGCTTCAAGGTCACTGTCGGGATGTCATCTGCACAAGATTTTCAGAAATGTATGTTTCGGGAACAGGTTGTCCCTGAGCCAAAATAAGTTGCATGCTTTCATTAAGTCACGAACCAAATCATTTGGCGAAAAATTGCTCAAATACCTAGTCGAAAGTTTTCCTTTCCCCGATATAATTTCAAGGAAAACTCTTGTTTCTGTATGTGTGGATGTATTTGTGGATGTGTGGATGTCTCATATGTAACCTTCGCAAACATTACGGATCTTTTCTACGCAATGGATAGAGGGCAGCGGTTCCCAAACTTTTCATGTCTTCACCCCCCCCCCCCCCCCGAGATTCTGGTTTTGCATCGCGTCCACTTCCCTTCTGAGAGCAGCACCTGGACACTAGTTTGCTATTCTCTTTTAATGGAGCCTTCTCAAAGAAAATATTTTCGCTGCACCACGAATGCAAAACGGAAGGTAAAGGATCAATGCAGCAGTCGATTGGGTCATCTACGTTGCACTGAACGTTAGAGTTGCAGCACAGACAAGCAGAATCCAGAACTGCGATGACTGGAAAGGCCTTTTCAAGGCTTGAAGCTTGTTCACAGAAATGAAAGAAAGCGTTAAGAAGAAATGAACAGAAGAAACGAAAGTCTTCGTAGCAGCCAAATCACTCGGGTTATGAAACGTAACCCACGTAACATGGAATTTCCAGGTGTGCGCTTGTAGGATCAGTTTCATATTGTCTTGCGTTCCAGGAATTAGGACCGAAAAAAATCGGTCTTCTATCCCAGGGGATTAAGCAGGGGATTAGTCGCCTCCTCCTAATCTCTTATTCTCCCACTACCTACTTCTTTCCTCTTCCATGGAGCTCATCTTTCTCCCATCATCCCTCATCTTTCTTCAGTTTCATAACTCAGCTGAGGAGCAACGTAAAACAAATTTTCAGTAAAAATTGTAAGACACGTAGCACAATTTTTCAAAACGCATGTTGAAACCAATTTTGAAAAGAAAAAAATAACTAAACGTTTTTTCACTGTGATTCCCTCCCACACCCAACTGAGTAAATCGACGACGCTCTTGCACGCATTTAAGGACAAAGACATGCCGTGATAAAGCCATCTTTGATCCGCTCGGGGCATTGACCAGAAATTCAGGTTGTTCGGCTCTGAACAGGAAATTCGCCTCTGAGATGGGCAATCCCTGTCCTAATTCCTCAAGAATGTGAAAAACTCTTCCGGAGACTCTTGGGTTGAGGTAGACGTTAACGCTCTTTACGTTAGCCAAACATTCCATCAAGATCAATGGTTAAAAGTAAGAACGCCCTAGGAACAAGGTCTGCTGGGCCTAAGGACCTCGCTGTGATGTGCGTTATGACATGAAAGGACCAAAAAAATCCAACTAGTGGAACGGATGGAGAGACCGGGAGTGATTGCCATCTTTGATCCAGTATTGGGGCCTGTCGTCATTCCCTAATGCTTCACATTAATCTTCCTTGACACCCGAGACCCTCGCGCTTCCCAGTTTAAGAAACGCTGCTAAAAACCGTTAGCTACAAGGTGTAGAGCATGTAACCACTATGATGCAAGAGTATGACGACATTAAAGGTTTGGTTTACTTCTAGTGAGAAAAGAGACTGAGGTCTAAATTCATCGGAGAGGTGTCTCTCAACCCTAAGGCCCTGGATAATGAAGGTGCAGAGAACCTTAGGCCAAGGAACTGTCCAGTTCCACGTGGTCCCTGCCCCATAAGTTGTCATCACGTTAGTTATCCTTGAGCCGTCTGAGGAAAGAGAGACCAAAGTCCTATGTCGATCCAGTCCCTCTTCGCTGAATGACCCCCTCCCATCGTGTGTTCTTCATCTTCCCTTTAAAAAAGATAAGGGATAGATCCGATTCACTTCCAATATGTGTGCAGTATTAATAATTTCATCCTTTAGCCGACCAAACGAGTGCCACTCAAATGTAATGATGAAATACTAAGAAAATAGTATTTCCTTAACATGCTTATGACTGAGTTATTTTTCACATTTTCCCGGATATGATGTCGGAGACTAGGGCCCGTATTCTATTTATTTCTCAACTTAAGATGAGGAAAATTTTAAGCAATGTAAAGAATTTGTCTTGGCATGTCGCTCAAGTTGGAATTCTATTTCCATCTTAGCAACTTGCTGAACTAAGTGGGTTCCTTAGACAAAGCAAGGTGTTTAAAATGGTCACGTGACCATTACGTCTTCCCTTACGTCATTCCTTTCAGCACTGACCAGTGATGCTTCCGGGAACATTCCACGGAAACATCAGGAAAAGGCTTCTTTTTGAGAATATTTTGTCAATGGAAGGATGAGAGACTCCTCAACCTGATCCATCTAAACGCACTTTCTCCTTTTTTCCGCAAAGCATCAGAGCAAAATCAGTTTGAATCACAGGAAGGATGAAAATGTGGTTGTTTGACGCCTCCACAAGGTCATTCCACAAAATTCTAACTATAGGGTAGTGGAAAATACCCCACTGCAAGACATTCCTGCTTGAATCACTATGTAATTGGACTGTTCCCAAATATGAAATTATACAGAAGAAAACCCCTTCCACGCCCCAACAATTTAGCAATGGTTTATCACTGAGAAACACCTAAGAGGTCTTATTATGTTAGCCACATTTGAGTGTCACAGAGTGTCACGACTTCTTAGAATCGGAGAAGCCTCAATTCAGGGAAGATTGAGTTCCGAGGAAACTCGAGTTTCGAAGAGACTCTCGTGCAGTTCGTGAGCTATCTTCAAACGAATGAAGTGATGAAAAATTGCATGACAAGTAGGAATTCCCCTTTTTCTTTATCGGCAGGTCAAAATGTCATGTCCACGGAAGGATAAAAGAAAATATCAGTTTTGAAGAATGGAATGAATCCCCTCAGCTTTATCATGCGAGTTTGTGTAATTAATTTCCGTTCTCACTTGAAACAGGGGCAATGAGCAGCCCCAGGGATTAGTTATTTTTGTCCATCCTACCCACGATATCGCGATCGTGCCCAATGGGTAATAGCTGAATTGTATGTTGAAATATTTTCAATTGAGCTGAGGAAGCATGTCAAAATGATGTTCGTACTGTTTAGGCTAGAAAATGCTTTTGGCAAGGGAATTTTTTTTTCAAAATGGACTAATTGGGTGTTAAGCTTAAAATACAATTTTCGAAGTTTGATTCTTAAAGTCAGAAACCTTGCGGAATCGCTACTTAAAGCGAAGTTCTGTCCTGAGAAATTCTGAGATATAAATTACCTGGTGTTCAAATTGACCGCATTGTGCTTTCTGAACTTTAAGCGAATACAGAAGAGCCTTAATTTAAGACTCACTGATGGCGATCTTGAGCAGGAGGCTAAGCATAATATATTAATAGAAACGGTGAGGAACTTAAGCGTCATTCTTAGATGTCTTCTTAAGAAGTCTGCTCAGATTAAGGCACTAAATATTGTTTAAGCAAGTAATAGAATACGGTCCTAGGAGACTAGTTTTCAATTGTTTTTCATTTTCAGTTTGTTTTTCATAGTTTTCAATCAGGATGGGGTCTATGGAATAGGTGCCCTTTTTGGCATATCTCTTTCTGAGTTTTACTTCCGGGAAGAATGCTGGAATTCTTCTTCTGTCAGACTCAGCCTACTCCTTAATGAGATGATGAGAGATACTTATTGGCATACGCATTAATTCCTTCTTCGCGATTCACGATTTTATTAACCTCTACTCATTAATTTCATGAAGTTCTCGCCGTTTCATACAGCCAGGACTGATAGCACAGCACGGGTACCCTGCGGAGACGTACACGGTCACGACAGCAGATGGCTACATCATAGACATGCACAGGATCCCGTATGGGCTGAATGGCCCAGGCGAGGGACCCCGGATCCCTGTCATGCTCCAACACGGTCTTCTTTGCTCCTCCGCCGACTGGGTTGTCACCGGACCCGAAAGGGCGTTTGGCAAGTCCTCCTTTCTTGACGACGGTTATCATTTCAGAGAGCTGTGGCAGAGCCAGAAATATTTCAATCTCCGTTCCCCCGAATGGTATTGATATATAGAAAACTCACCGAGAAAAAAAAAATTCGAGAAAAGAATTCATGAAAATTACCCACTCCTCAAATTATAAAAATATCGCAGTTTCTTCTTAGGTACATTCTGCTCTAGATACATTCATTGACACAACTGAGACATTGCCAACAAATCATCTCATAGCTTACATCCTTGTGGTATGGCCGATATAGTCATTATTCAAGTTCATATGCAAAACTAGAGAAATTCTTGAAATCGGTAATTCTAAATAGAATCTTTGGTCATGAAAGGGTTAAAACACAGGCTACAGTTATCGTGACTCCCCAAATGATGAAGCGACAAGCGTTGGCAAGAGCTCTTGCATTTCTTCATTTCAACGTTTTTTCTTGCGAGCAACAGATGCTTGGTTTCTGCCTAGGAAATTACAAGCAATTTAAATTATGGTATTGGGAAATTGCTCTAAGGCAGATAAGGCTCGAAGTGAAAGTTAAAAATGATCAAAAGAAGAGAACCTAGCAATTCCGATTGTCCTGGCGCCTTATCTAGCAATGGCTTTGGAATCAATGTTTCAGACGAAAGACATGCAGTCTCAGAGCTTGCCTCCGAGCTCTTGTAACCGTACCTTTTCGCACACGCCTCATTTTTTGTTGTACTGGAAGAATTTGAGAGGTTATTTGAAAGTGGGTCTGCCTTTGATGTCAGTGCGGATGTAGCCGGGACGTAGCCAGGAATCTGGAATTCCCTTTCGAATTTCTAGACCGGTAGTGATTGGTGAAACACAATAGAGAAAAATTGCACGACATATTCGGGAGACATTAATCCAGTATTATGATCACGGTTCTCATTCCTTATGGATTTTCAGGCTTCATGTTGGCGGATGCAGGCTACGATGTTTGGCTCGGGAACGTGAGGGGGAACACCTACGGCAAACGCCATGTCAGCTTGTCCACCAGCGATGAAGCTTTCTGGGCTTTCAGGTATTATATTAGGAGCGTAACATTAACCCCCAGAGTTTAGATTAGTTTATTCCTTCAATTATAATCGTTATTATATGCATTTAGTTGGGATCAGATGGGAGAGTTTGATCTGCCGGCGATGCTGGACAAGATCTTTGAGGTGACGGGACAAGACAAACTACAATATGTTGGGCACAGCATGGGCACGATGATGTTTTGGGTCATGAGCAACATGAGACCTGAATATCGAGATCATTTTCTGAGTATGCACGGAATGGGACCAGTTTCTAGGGTTGACCACATGTTCAGCCCCCTTCGACTCATCGCTCCCTTTACAAATCAACTCCAGGTCAGAGCAGAGAATGGAAAAAAAATTATTGAATTTGGCCTGGATTGGTTTCATGATGGAGGGGATCAATTATGCGGGGGGAATTGGATTGGTTTGGGCGTTACCACATCCCCCTGCACAAAGTATGGCTGAAATTAATGGCGAAATGATTTTGCTATCTCACAACTGTGAACGTGAGGCTTTGCGAGAGTCTCTTCTTCCTTATCTGTGGTTGCGATTCCAAGCGGTTAATATAGGGTGGGGAATAATAATACTAATCGCATACTAACTTGTATGGCGTGGCGCTGGAAATGCATGGGGAAATTACTGCTTCACAATCTGCCCCCGACATGGAACGGGATCAAACTGTATGTTATGAATTTGGAATTGGAGCCGCCTCTGATCCGATTTGGGAAGGAAGTAGGAACGGAAGCTCTAAGAATGCACGATGCTCAACTTCGCTTCTTCGTTGAATTTGAGAGGCTGTAAAGCGAGTCTTTGAGTAGGAGTCTGCCATTTTTGTCGGTGAAGATGAGGCAGGGTCGTAGCAAGGGGCATGTCCAGAAAGTCTCGAAACCCCCCAAAATGGAGCAAAACTTCCTGGAACACGTCACAGCACTAATGAGATCTCGTTGCTGTCAGCTTCCTTGTGGGCAGAGGGAATTGTATCCCGTCAAGTATGACAGGACACGGTAAGACACTCGAGGAGTCCGCCACTCCAGCCATTATGTCACAAGAACTTTCTTTACGTGCACTGGGCTTTCTTTCGAACTTTATTATTTGCTTCACCATTAACCTTTTTTCTAACGAAACTTTTATTTGGTCATACTAGGACTAATAGCTTACCTGTCTATATTAAGTTTCGTAGTAAAACTTTCCATAATTTCGGAGAATTTCTGGAGGAGCAAACCATATCAAAACAGTGACAATATACATGGTTTATGCTTAAACAATGAACGCACTTGAACGAAACTATATGCCTGGTTACATTACTGAACCTTCCCATCCCAAATCTCATCACTGAACTCTTGCATTCGGATAATTTTTAAATCCATTGAATATTTTGCATCCACCCATACATCTAAAGGGTGAAACCATCCTTCCACTTCTGGGTAGACAAAATGGCATTGGAAGCAAAAGTGGAAGAAAATTTAATAATAGAGCGCCCCCAGCATGAGAGAGAAAGAGCGAAAAGGCATTCGAAATTCGATTGATCCTTTCCAACGAACCCCTCATTCACTCTGTTACACAACGAGGAAGAAAAGAAAGCCGCATTACAACCCAGAAGGGAATTCCTGCTTAAATTCCTGAGATGGTGCTTATATTAGCAGGTTTGTAAACTGATGAAATTACATTTGTGGGGGAGGGAGAGTGGTGAAGGCCTTCAAAGTACCATTCAAGTAATTAAAGGCCAAGCAAAAACGCTTCTTTCTTGCTCATGCGACCGAATGTTTTTCATTAATGTCTTGTCTCTCATGTGAAATTAATTTCTCTTCTCATGAATTTTTTTGTGAGACTATCCCAGGAAGTCAAGAATGAAAGCTATGAAGTCCACGAGTAAGTAGAAGCATGAAAAGCAGTAAAATAAAGTAAAGTAATAAAGTGAAGTAACCTTGCTCGCGTTTGGTATTAGATGAGTGGGGTTTACGGGCCCATCTGTCCTTTTTGGGAGGGTAATAAGGCTTTCCAGGTGGGAATTTGGTTTCGAATCGTCTGATCGAATCGGGTAGCGAGAAGTAGGATGAAGCTTCGAAGCTTTCCCGTTTGACTTCATGAAGCCTTGCACGATGAAGACGTAAATAAGAGATTGAAAGATTTCTTGATTGGGTGCATGCTGATGGATCGTCTAATCGATAAAACAGTGGTTGATGGACATGTTGGGCATGGAAGAATTCATGCCGAGCTCCGCCTTCTTGGATTTCTTGGCCGCCTTCGTCTGCGGTGAGGACTGGAGTTCTATCTTCTGCAGTTCCATCATCTTCCTCATCTGCGGCTTTGACGAAGCGCAGCTGGATACGGTAAGCATGAACTATCCTTTTTCCTGCTATGTCCACATTCGCTCGACAATCACAATCTAGTTTTATCCCTGTGAGCGTGACCATGATCAAAATATATCATTTAAAATAAAATATTGGCCCAGAACTTGTGATTTAGAAAAAACATTGCTTTCTTGCTGATTTTTGATATATTGTTAACTACAGGAGCAACTTCCATTGATCCTGTCCAATACGCCAGCGGGGACGTCTACGCAAAACATCATTCATTTTGGCCAACTGGTGAATGCAAAAAAATTCCAGCATTTCGATTGGGGGAGAGATGGAAATTTGGAACACTATGGCCAAGAGCAACCTCCCGAGTATGACCTGACCAAGGTCAACACGCCGGTCTTCCTCTACTACGGCGAAAACGACTGGCTTGCCGACCCCGAAGTTCGTACATCACGATGTCTCGTTATTTTCCTGTCAGTTTGATGTATTATATTCTTGACGGGGTCTCATTCGTTTTCCCAGGACGTTGCCTGGTTGGCAAGCAACGTACCGAGCCTGATCGATAATTACCGAATTCCCTTTGACGCCTGGAATCATCTGGACTTCCTTTGGGGAATCGACGCTAAGAGTTTTGTCTTCGACAGGACGCTTGAAATGATGAAACTCTTCGAGCCATGAAAAGAAATATAGGAGGAATTGATAGAATCACAACTTATTGCTTTTGTATCTTGCATGCAGTACCGTCTCGGTGAAAAATGAGCCTGGGAGTACGAACCCTGCACCTCTATAGCATTTCGACTCGACACCTCTAGACCAACGACAGGGCAGATGATGCAACGTGGTAGAAGTCACGAAATTAATTGTAAAATGTGCCTTTTTAAAATCAAAGTATATGAAACCTACTCGTCAACTTCTCATATTTTAAAGCCAAGCCTAAATTCTCACCAAAATTCTGCACGTATCCTTTTCAAAAGATAGGACGGAATTTTTTCGTTTCTCTCTTCTCATGCCTGTCTCAAACAACTTATTCATAAAGGCTGCGAGCTCCTCGCCGATTCTCCATTGTTTGGAAACGAGGAGGATGCGCACATCACGTACACTTTTAACAAAAATGGTTCAGCTTTTATCTCCTAAAGGGTGTTTAATGAGGCAAGGCGAGACACACGACGAGGTGACGTAACGTACTTATGAGAGAGATTTCTGGGAATGAGGGAAGGGCTATTCCTTGTACTGTGGAAAACGGTAGCTCCATAACTCCATCTAGTTGTGTAAAGGAGAACTTTACACGAATAACCCTTGGAAATAGTGTTTCAATCATCTATGCCTTTTCTACAGTTTAACCCTGAAAATGTTAAAATCTAAACTCTGTTTGGTAACATTCGATTCATATGAAGAACTATCTCATTGGGGATAAATATGCAGCCTCATAAAGAACATATATTTATTCCTTTTCTTGTGTATAATCCACTTGTATTTATACATCACTCAAAGGATTGTATATCAAACCCTCCACATCGAAAGGGATAAAAAAAAGTAATTCAGAGAAGGTTCAATAAACATTTAAATAACCCTTTGAGATAGAGTTGTACTGACATCAAACCATTTCCTTCTTATATTTAACCCTCAAAAATATATACCCTGAACCCTTTTTGCTAACAGTGTAAGTCAGAGCTGGAGACTCCACCGATCGCTTCTCTCTTATATCAATGTTCCAAGGAAACGTCTTGAGGAAAACGTAATTGTTCTCAAGGCATGTTCGTGAAGTCCTTCATTTGTTCAAGTTTACAAGGAATGTACGAGGTACGTCGCTGCAAAAAATGGCGTAAGGCCAGATCGTTTGGATTGCTGACACCCAGTCAAATTAGAATCCCAATCGTTTTCGGTTCAGCATTGGAATGATCTCTCCTGTTTTATATCTGCCTTTCGTCCTGGCTCCTGACCCGAGACCCCGCCCAACCAGACACCTGGACGGGGTTCGAAGAGCAGGCTCATACTCGTTGCCCGAAGAAACTATTCATACCGAACTTATTGCCCTCCGCATCCGTCCGTTATCAGATATGACGATGATGCGAACAGTCGCCTGAACTTGAAATCCGCGAGTCTGAAATCCAAGATTTAATTCGGTTGCTCCTTGCTTCAATCACTCCTTTCTACCAAAAAATTCAGTTTGTGATTAAATGCATTCTGTACAAGCAAATTTGTTACCCTTCGGATAAACAAACTCTCTATGGTCACGCCTTCGGCGCTCCATTTTCTGGGATAGTGTTTAATTCACTCATTCATTTTCGAAGTGACAAAAACTTACTTATAGTATGTCCTTGTCGAAATCTGTGCCATGAGGGGACGTAACCAAGATTTTTTTTAATTGAAACCATTACTCCGATGATTTCTTGCACGCCTAACTTCGTATCTCTTCATGTTCTTCATTTGTCACAGTGAAAAATAAATATTGAAATTCTTCCCTCCCATAATCTGCCCTGAGGGAACATTTTTCAAAAGTAGGATTTTTTCTGCACTCAGCAATGGAACAGGTACTTCTGAGTCGAGTTTTAATTTTCCATCTCTCTCAGTTTCGTTGGATCGGAAAAGATTCTGGAAAATGCGCCTCTTACAAAAATGTGCCCTGAGGGGCTTTACATAGAAAATAATATTTTTTTACTGGAATTGGTACTCGGAGAACTCCATGCCCACCAAGTTCCAGCACGTTCACCCTTTTCGCTGGGGTAAAAATATATTTGGAAATCGACCCACCCAGAAGCTGTGCCTTGAAGAGATGCTCTATAAAATTTGAATTTTGCCTGAACTGAACATCACGTCAATTATGCATGTGCCAGGTACCACCTTTCTATTTCTGCCCAATTCGCTAGGACAAAAAAAATTATTTGAAAAGATCAACTCCCAAAAAATATGTACCCCCAGTGGATGTATCTGAAATGTGACATTTTCTCTAAATTCAGTATCTTAGGCTCATGCCTAGTTTTAGCTTTCCACGTCTCTCCTTTAGACTGAAGCAAAAAATTTATTTGAAAACATCTCCCTCCAAATTATGTGCCCCCGGAGCATTTGCCTCCTAAGCCTGAATTTTTCTGAATTCCGCAACCCAATATATATACCAAGTTTCATATTTCTAACTTCTCTAGAACATGGTTAGAATTAGCGTCACTCGGCCACTCAGTCACGATACACTGTATATTAGATTAGGCGGACTTTAAAAAGAGCGGTGAACGAAATCATTAAAATGGCGGCTGGTCCTTCAAGGTTGGAAAAGGAAAGCTGTGCTAGCACTATTACCTATCACTAGCACTATCACCTATAACACCTATCTAAAAGAACTCTGGGAGTCCGAAAGTTAACGGATTCAGTTGGCCAATGGACGAACATTGACCCGACTACGCAACGGCTGACAGGTCGACAGGCCGCAGGCATCGGCCTAAAAAAATGCAGTACCAACATTAGCACAATACCATTGTCTATTGAAAGGAATGCTCGCAAGCATCGTACTAAAGTTAGGATTCCAGAAGCTGAAATTTGTGCATACGGTCTTACGTTAACTGACGTGGAGATCCGCTATCCTTCTCTCGTCACGAGGGCGAGCCCAGCGGAGCGGGAGCAGACGACACGCGCGCGCACCGTGGGCCAACCTCCTTGAAAACCTGGCGGAAGTTGCAAAGCGTAAATACAGGTATGGTAAGATGGGAAAAAGAGAAACATGAGATAATGTGAAGCAATGTCAACAGTTCGTGGACTTAAGTCAACAAGGTCATAAATATTCCAATAGTAACCGAAGGCTTTGAAAACATGTCCAAATGCGTCGTGCTATTGCAAAGTCAACTTCTCGTCCCATTTTTAAATTGGGTAAAAAAAGAAAAACTCTGCTTGCTTATTTTCGTCAATATACAACTTCTCTTGTCAGAGCTCCCGAAAGAGTCTTGTCTGAGTTAATTCCGGAAAGTTCTCATCTATGGGCAATGCAGTGTTGTATAAGTCTTAGGTGGAGTGCAAAGCACTCGGATATAAATCGGGACCTTCATTCGATTGCTTCACTCTCCCCTACCCTCAACCCTTTAGTGCATGTATTTATGAAAGCCTTGGAGAAAGACGTTCAAGCATCGGATACTTTTTCTTAAAGGCAACAAAAAATGTAGTTTAGATCAAACTGTCAAACTGAGACATTCTATTGCTGTCCTTGGTTTTTGCCGAAATGAGGGAAAACTTGATAAATTAGACCACAACGGGAAGAATTTGTAAGGTACCAGACAAACAGCACGAAAAAAAAAACAGACCAAGGATCTACGACGAAGATAAAGGAACTAGGGAGGAGGCCTTTACCTACTGTTGTTGTAATGACCCAATATTTCATGATGTTCCCTGGTGAAGACAAGCCTACCTTCCTAAAATATTTACTTTGTTTCCATTTGGGAGCCTCGTGAATACTTTAGGACTTCCTCATTCTCTCACAGCGACTTCCGTCATGATTCAAGGGAGGGTCAAATGAAACCTGGATAGAATAATTTGTTACCTTGTTACACTGCCCTTAATATAAATTACTTCCATTACGCACGTAGACTTGCACGTAGGCGTGAAATACGAGGTATGTATTTATTTCACGCATGGTTGCAGCACCTTCAGCAAAATGGCGTTCCGCATCGAAAGTGCATCCAAAGAAATTCATCGCGGTGTGAAGTAGTTTTTCACAGCTGAAGGGATCCCACCAACGGACGTCTACCGCAGAATGACCTCTATATACGACGAGGACAGTTTGTCTATATCCCCTGAGGGTGAATCGTTCGATATCCCAGGACAGTCGAAATTTGCCATCACAGTGAAGGACGTAACGATGGTGGACCGGCTCTTAAGAGAGAACATCTGTGTAACTTTGAAAGCTCTCGTCGCAGGTCCGCCCACACGATTGCAGAAGGCCACCTGCGTTATCAAAAACTTTGCTCAAAATAGATGCCAGAGGAACAACGATAACTGTCCTGGACGTGAATCATCACTGGACCGTCCTTCGCGGAAACGTCTACTTCATACACAATCAGTGGATTTGGACAAACTGTTGCCACTGCACCCAGAGATCATTCCATGGTTTATGTCCATCGATGGAGTCCCTTTAATCGTCAAGAACTGCACCACTCCGTTACGAATTTCTTCGGATGCACGCTCCATACGGGATGCCATTTTGCTGAAGGTGCCATTACCATACGTGACGAAAATGCATGCCTCGCATTTCACGTATTAGGCGTCTATATATTTAAATTAATATGGTATGTTCTCAATCTGGAACGTGGTGCAATCGACTGCGTAAAGCGAAGCACGGGTTTCAGGGTAAATCCAAACGTTCGTTTTCCACTTGCCACGTTCATCCCGAGCCAGTTCAACTCATTTTTGCCACTAAGGCTGATCCAGTGTAATGCTGCCAACAGCTACAATATGGATGGAGATTCAAAGATCGTCATGTAATATTGACAGGAAAAAGACTTATGTAAAATAATTGTAAAAATACACCTAAACCTTTAAGATGAACACTAAAAGGACCTCACAAAGATTGTCCTGGGAGCCTGAAAAGTTATGACATCGGTTTTATGTGGTTTATTTTAAAAATATATCCCACGTGGTGAGATAACTTCACGTGTTGCATTGCGTAATGCCTCTACTATCACCAGGCAAAATCAGAATGTGAGTAGTTGCCCCTATGCAAGTGCAGTAGCTGC